CCTTGAATGTAATTGTGGAGCTAGATGCATCATTAATGGACTCTTGAATGTGCTGCTTTATTTGGTTTCTTTATACCATGACTATGGTCCACAAGAGGAATGCATAATTTTAAAGAAAAAATATATTAATCTCTTTTGACAATTTACATTGTCTATTGCTTTTAATAAATGTCAGGACACATAGATTAATACTGAACAGAAACACACAGTAATTGAGTTAAAGGAGCCTAAAGCTAAATGCTTCTTTGCAAAGCAGAATCATTAATTCACTGTGTTCTGCTGCCAATCCTACTCTGTCCAGTGCTATATGTTGCTGTATTTCCATCCTGTTTCCATAGCTTTCTTGTCCATTATCAGTCAACCTGACATAATGTGAATGAGATATTTTATAGTAAAAGTTCTGGAAAAGCATAGTGAATTCTAAACTGGATCCTCAACATTCCTGTGAAGTGTCAAGTGACTAGATGTGTGTTGATCATGCACACCAAGATGGATGTGTTGGTCAATTCACCTTTTAAATACGAATAAAGAAATAAGATACCTGATTTCTTGGTTATCAGCGCAGAATTTTTTTTAAAGTATTTAGCCTCCTTAAACAGCCAGATCACTGGTTGCAAAGACTACAAAGGAAGTGGTACACAAGAGTCTTGGCAAAAACTGTGGTCATATTATAATACCCTATCTGTGCCAGAGAAATGAAAAATAGAGCTGAGTGAAAGAAAGCAGCTAGATTCTTCAATCCCCATCTTTTTTTACAAAAATTTTTTATTGTTATTGTAAAGGTGATGTACAGGTGGTACAGTTATATAAGTCAGGTGATGAATATATTTCTTTCTGGACAATGTTACCCCTTATCTCAGTCTCTCCCCGTTTTTCCCTCCCACAAGTTGTTGTATAGTTCATTTTCAGCATAGTATTTAGTAAGACTCACTGCTGCATTTGTTCACCTTTTGTTTCTCTATTTCTGTGCCCACCTTACCCTTCTACAGACAAATGAATGGACAAATGACCAAAAAAGAAAAAAAGAAAAAGAAAAGAAAAACAACAAAAGAAAAAAGCTTTTGTTTCCATTTCTTGGAATATAATAATAAGTATTATGTAAAATATAATATAAATATAATATAAAATATATTATAATAAATATAAAATATTATTTTATATGATCAATGCACAGGGGCATTACACCTCTGTGTTCTTCCCATAAGAGAATCCTCTTTCAGTCTCACTGTATGTGAATGTCTTGAGTCCTGTATAATTTATCATGTCCCTGTGCATTTTAGATCTAACTTCCACATATGAGAGAAAACATATGCCATCCGTCTCTGTGCTTTGTTTACCTTACTAACATGATTTGTTCTAGGTCCATCCATCTTTTTATGGAACTTTCTTCCCCTAATGACTATATTACATAATGAGTTAATACCAATCATTTGAAACTTGGAGCCAATCAAAGTAAAACACCAGGGCCGCTGTCGTTTTCACCAAGAAATCTTTTATTTGCTAATGTTGACAGGGGCACATGTGACCACAGCATTTTGTGAGGCAGTTGAATTGCTGTTTATATTCAACAACAAACCAGAGAATGCTAAGGGAAACAGGAACAACAGAGGAGCAGAGCTGCTCTACAGCCCTTTTCTCCCCAATCATTTGTTCTGAGGGTTGAACAAACAAGATTATTCATTATAATGAGGGGCTCTAATTGTACTCAAGTGTCACAATATTATGTTATTTCTACTCTCTAGAGGGCTCACCTGTGTCCTTTTGGCATGTATCTGTTTGTAGTAGTCACTTCCCAGCAGTGTTCAGTGACCACATTTCCTCAGCACAGATTAATCATTCTTAACATTGCAAATGTATGCATTTAAACCAAGCCTCTAACAAATATGCATTTGATAGGTAGGTGGAGAAGGCAATTTTGCCATTGAAGTATCAAAGATAGAGAGACAGCCCTGGCTGTTGACATCAAAAAAACTCCTGAAACAAATCAGAGTAATGCTAATGTGTATATAATTTTTTATTAGTAACAGTATGGAGAAAGGTATACTTAAGTCCTTGGCCGTACAAGTGAGAACATGCTGTGTTAGAGAAGAAGATAGGAAAGCAAAACCCTATAGATACGGCTTTAATAATAACTGAGACAATCTCAGGCAAACATTTGAAGCCTTTGAGCCTTACATCTTCATGTATTTATTGTAGAATTAAATATAGCAGTGTAGAACAGAAAACTCTTTCCAACTCTGAAGTCTCCAGTTCTCTGAGTTGAATTTTGCATATGGAAACTGTTCTTTCTGTTAATCCAGTCCTGTTAGGATTATCAAAATGTACTGCATATTTTGTCCTAGTCAAGAACTAGTCAAGAGACCTAAGCTAGGTTCATTTAGCTATTCTCAGAATATCATTTTGAGTGGACTGATGTAAAGATTAGAGGTGCTCAGAATACATTGTCCATTAGTTCATGCTACTATATCTGCCTACCCTGCTCTAGTTGTTATTCTTTTTAGAGTCAGAATCCTTTTTTTTTTTTCCTGAGTATGTTAATTACTCCTATAGCTTTCTAATACTTTTTTTTTCCTTTTTGTCGGTTGTGGGTCCTGAACTCTGGGCCTGGGCACTGTCCCTCAGCTCAACGCTAGTGTTCTACCACTTGACCATAGCACCATTTTCACCTTTTTCTGCTTATGTGGTGCTGAGGAATCGACTCCAGGGCCTCCTTCATGCAAGGCAAGCACTCTACCACTGAGCTACCTTCTCAGCCCCCCTTTTTAATACATTTTATAGGTTTATCAGTTAGCAACTGGTTGGTATCAGTTAGCAAGTTCTGGGTACCAAACTGTCCACACATCACTTCTTAAGCTCATGATTCTTTCTCTGATTTGAGGTTGTCACTGGGCTCAGCAGGGCATTTTGTATGGACTCTGTTGGGTTCCTGGCTGAGTCATCTATAGTCAGATTCAGTGCACTGGGCAGTTGTGTTTCTGGGCATTTACCAGTCGTCTGCAGGGACACCATTCAGCATGGTAGGAGTAGGAAGATTCCTGGACCATGTGTCTTTTACCATCTAGCAAGTTGCCCTGGGTCTTTTCATAGAGTAATGCAGGGTTCCTTGTGGAAAAGTAGAAACGTGAAAGGCCTCTTGAAGCCTCAATGCAGGTTGGCACAGAGTTGCTTCTGCTGTGTCCTGTTTCCTGAGTCAACTCAAGTGGCCAGCCAAGATGCAAGAAATGGAAAAATAGATATGCATGCCATCTTTACAGAAGTAGCTATAACATCTCAATACAAAGAAGTAAAGTACAAAGAGGAAGAATACTTAACCATCTGCTATACACACTCAGTTCTTTTCACTACATTATTGCTAAAGAACTGGATATACCATGTGGTCCAGGTGGTAGGGCACCTGCCACTGAGCATAAAACATCAGATATGCAGTTCGAATCCCAGTCTCTGACAAAAGCAAAAAGCATCCCCTAAAGCATTGACTTGTACCTCTATCATTGAGTTAACTGATACGGGAAAGTCTTAGGAGTCAGTCAGTCCCTCTAAGCAACATAGAATAAATCTCTTACTTCTCCTTAATGGCAGCTCATTGTATCTTACGGGAATTCCTTGCCGCTTCTCTGCAGCCTTCTCAACTACAAGTCTCAAAGGGCTGTCACCATTAATTGTATCATCTGCCACACTACTTAAGAGTCAGTGTGTCACCTGCCCAGCTATGTATGACATATACCACTGAGGCTTTTCCCCCATTATATTACTTCTTCTTGGTGTATCTGTTGTAGCACTCGCTAAAATAATCTCCATTTGCCTTTGTAGAAAAGATATATGTGGGGGTTGGGAAGGTGGCTCAGTGGTAGAGCACTTGCCTTGCATGCCTGAGGCCCTGGGTTCGATTCTTCAGCACCACATAAGCAAAAAGAAAAAAAGCCGGAAGTGGTGCTGTGGCTCAAGTGGTAGAGCGCTAGCCTTGAGCTGAAGAGCTGAGGGACAGCGCCCAGGCCCACAATTCAGGCCCCACGACCGGGTCCCCCCCCCAAAAAAAAGATATATGTGTATATATATCTATATTTTTTTGGTAAGTTATAGTGTGCTTTTATGCAGCATACCCTCTTGGTACTCTATATCATTCATAGAGTAAGGCAAATGCTAATTCTAACATGCGCTGCTGTAGGTGGTTCTAGTCAGTTTTTATCCAAGTTCTGACTCAGCCCAGACTCCTTTAGGTTTGTGAGATCTAATAAGATCATAGCACAGGGTGGTATAGCTGCAGGCAGAAAATTCTGCTTGCCAAATGTATTTTCCTTTATAGCGAGTTCATAAATTAAGGCAGGTCCCTGAGCCACTGTGCCTGTATGCATACATTACAACAGATCTCCCTTTGATTGGGCACCTTCCCTTCTAGCCACTAATTTCTCTGAGATGATGCCAAACTCCTGGGTCTATACCACTTTAACATTCCCTACCTCTCCATGTCAAATGATAATTAATATGACTTTACAGTTGAGGTGGTACTCTTCTTCCATTAATAATACCCATTATTTCTAGGTGTTTTAACTTGAGTTTAAAAATTGACTCTGGGGGTGGAACTTGACTTGGAAGCTTATGTTAAAGTGAATAGTTTGTTTCTAATTTTTTTCCTTTTTTGGTGAGCTTCCCTTTTAAAAGAAAGTTTGTGTTGCTTTTGAGTTGTGCATGTATTGGACAAAATTCCTAAAATAAGTATCGTTTTGGATATATAATTCATTTTGATGTCAGTCTGCAGTATCTCATAGACCTGAGACCTCCCAGGGGTTTTTACCCTGTCATTTGTGTGGCAGAGTAGAGCTCTGTTGTATTGCTTCAATTGCCCTCAGACTGAGATTTTTTTACACTGTTTCTCACAACTCTACCCCAAATTTTCTTTTTATGCCAGAGCATTTAAAGGTTCTTACTGAATTGTTTCTTGTGATAAGACACAATCCATTTTTACATCTCATTTTTATGGATGTCTTATTTTTCTATTGTAGACTTGGTAGAAGAGACACAAAGGAAAGACGAAGAAATGGAATCACTGCAGGTATAGTAACTTCTCAAATAGGGCATGTATTCTCATGATTAAAAATACTTGGTTTTTGCTCTGTTATCCTTTTTATTGCTATAAAGTAGACCAGAAAATGCCATGTGAAAGGTTGAAAGTTGAAATTGGAATTTGCTTCTTTTAGCAGTCTCTGAGAACACCTACAATATAAAGCAGGAAGCCAGCTCAGCCTGTAGGCTACTCTTGAAAGGAACCACTATGTCTTTGCCAAGTATAGTGGGAGCTTCAGCATCAGGAAAAGAATGCAGAATCCTTCAAAAGTCATGTCCTCCAAATCAAGGCTTATAAGTGGTAATGAATTGATGGAATCTACATTTTTCAAGTGAAAGTCAAGCATATTCTTCTAGTCCCTGAATGTTATCCTGATAGGAATCTTAACACTTACATGGAACTTAACATTTGCCTTAGAGCCAGTCACCAAGTGGCTTATACCTATAATTGTAGCTACTAAAGAGGTTAAGATTTGAGGATCTCAGTCCAAAGCCAGCCTGGACAGAAAAGCCCGTTAACTGGAGACTTTTATCTCCAGTTAACTACAAGAAAGCCAGAAGTAGAACTGTGGCTCAAGGGTAAAGAATTTAGCTTGAGCCAGAGAAGCTCAGGGACAGTTCAAACCCCAGGATTGACAGTTTTTTGCTTTGGCTAGCCTCTCAATTTACCATGGATTTATGCACACTTCTTGGACTAGAAAATTATGTTTGAAAGATTCTGCTAGAATTTTAATTGACATTTCCATGGTATGAACAATTGATGTTCAGTTGGCATCTGACAGAAGTTCTCTTCCTTTTACGTTGGGTTAACTCAAAAGAGGATAACTCAAATGTCTATCTTTATTAGAGAAAACATAATCAGTTTTACTCACATGACAGAACCAATTCACTTATGTCATGTTGGAGCTTACAAATAGTAAATAATTTGGACATTTAGAGTTCTCTTCATCGGCCTTGAGCTATAAGGCAGGACTAGAGGGTGAAATAATGAGCTGGCTTGGGTGCTTTAGGGATGAAGGTATTTGTTTCTGATAAATGGAGGATGGCCAAATGAAGTCCAAAGGAGCAGGGAAAATATTTTATGATTGGAGATTTTTCTGTTTTGACCCTTAATGACATTAATAGAAAATTGTGTAATTGACCTGAAGATGTTGTTGTTATAGTTTTGGATATGCGAGAAAAGTGGCACATGATAGCTTCAGTTTTGCAATTCTTTTTAGTCTCTTGCATTATATTTGGGCCTAAGAAGAAAGAGCACTAGTTTGGTGTAAGGCTATGAAAAATCTGAAGTATATTGCAGATTCTATTTCTGCTTATCCCGATGAAATTAATATCAGCAGTGCTTATTCCAAAATGAAAAGCTGTATTTACACTAAATGTGTATATTGAGAAAATAATATAATCTTATTAGGCATTTTAGTTATGTGTTCTGATTGCCATTGGCTCCAGAATATCACATATAAACATATTTATTAAGCACAGATAGTCTTTCAAATGACATTATAAATAGTTGTTATCTCATTTCTTGCACAATACAGATTTTGCAACAGTAGTCCCATTAAATTGAATAGTCAATGTTGCTTCTCAAATATTTATTAGATATTGGCACCATTTTCTTCCTACACGTCCAGCCAGTGCAATAAAAGGCACCAGCCGACCAGCTCTGGACATTTATAGATGTAGAATATGCTGTACAGTGCTCTACAACAGAACAGTTAAATGTTGGCACATTGTAATGGTGATTAATATCTCATACTAAAACTCTATTGAGAAGAGAGGAAACTGACACCTCTCAGAGTGAGGGGAGTTCAGAGTCACATCCCAGAAAGCCTTTAATGGAAAGTCTAGAGGAAGATCCATAGACAGTGCATGAATCCCTGAGTTTCTGCGTTGAGATATATGTGTTATATATGAAAGTTTGGAGGCTACTAGAAGACTAGTAAAAAATTAGTATGTAGGTTGAGTTCTTAAAGTAGCACAGCAGTACAATTCTGAGAAAATGGACATTTTCTAGAAAATGATGACAGGAAGGATTGGAGGTTAAAAACATAAGTCCTGGCTCTGCTTCTGATTCACTAGATAACCTTATAAAACTTAAATTAACTTTGCTGTGCCTATTTTCCCATCTGTAATATCACATCATGACACAGTCTTCCACAAGTGTTTAGTGTAGGTTAGATTGTTCTAGAAGAGAGAGCTAAATATTTAATTCTAATGTAAAATGTTAGCAAATCCTCCTGTCTCCAAACTGGGGTGATTTTATGTATTCCTTGCCATCTTAGAATTGTTCATAATTATATGTATAAGGTATTCTATTCACTCTTGGAATGAATAATCACTGAGCAATGATACGATGTGTGGCACTGTAGCAAGTAGAAGGGTCTATGGACAAGCTCCATGTACCAGATTACTTCTTGTCCTTTATTACAGACTTATCAGATACCAGTATTAAATGAGTGTTTAAAATAAATGTTGAGAAATGGCATTAGAGGGCATGTATAATAGGAACACTTAAGCTGTGTGAGTACAATAGGAAGTACATCAGTCCTGTCATAGGAACATCTGTCTTTGCTGTTGGAGGTAGGTTGAAATTGAATGAGAGTTCAACATAGTTGAAAGTTGATAGGTTAAGTGGAGCTGGAGTGACAATCTAAGTTAGCTTCCTAAAGGAACCCAGTGTTTAAGTGGCAAGTAAGAGTTATCTAAGCAAATTTGGCCTGTATGTAAAAAAAGTTTTAGGTCCCAGAAAGGATGTGGAAAGTCTTATGTGAAAGAAAGAACAATTTCACACTTCAGGGCCTGAAAGAAGTGCACTGTAGGGAGCTGGGAAGGTGGCTCGGCGGTAGATTGCTTGCCTTGCATGCATGAGGCCCTGGGTTCGATTCCTCAGCACCACATAAGCAAAAAGAAAAAAGCCAGAAGTGGCGCTGTGGCTCAAGTGGTAGAGCACTAGCCTTGAGCTGAAGAGCTGAGGGACAGCGCCCAGGCCCAGAGTTCAGGCTCCACAACCGGACCCCCCCTCCCCAAAAAAAAGAAGTGCACTGTATGGAATGGAGCACCTAAAAGAGGAGTTTGTAAAATACAGCTACTGTGGATGCAAAGTCAGTGAAAGGTTTGGAAAATAACAAAAGAAAGGCCAGATTTGCAGTTTGAATAGGTGACTGGCTATCAAGTTGAAAGTAACTGGGAGCAGATGAGACTGAAGCCAGCAGCACAATGAGACACCTAGTTGTTTATGAGACTCTTGGTTAGAGAAGGCAGTGCCCTGGGTTGGGTAGCAGCGGACAGTTTTAAGAGTAGTGATGGCTTCTTAATATTTTTTAGGATATATTTACGTTTGTTTTAAAGAAACTTTAAGATTGGTGCTTAGGAAGTAAAATGAAAAAAATAAGAATGCTCTTTGCTTTCTTTTTTTGAACAATTTCATCAGTGGTTGTGCTCATTAGTGGGAAGGGGAGTCGATGAGTTCAATTTCGCTCTTTGTCAGTGCCTAGTCAGCAGTGACAGTAGGGTAATAGGGGAAATCATGTAAGTCTTGCACTCAGGGGACTTTAAAGGAGCATGCAGAATTCCGTGTTATCAAATCTGGTGTCAGTAAAAGGTATAGTAGCAGTTAACTCTCAGGGGAAGGATGTAGGATGAGATAAAATGAAAGCCTAGGCCAAAGAAAAAGTCATTAGAACGGAATAAACATTTGTCCTATCTCTTCTGTTATGAGTTTTGGTTTTAAACCAAAAAAATTACTACCTACTGAGTGTTAAATTTTTGTCGTACTCATGAAATAACTCTCCTTATGTGTAATTTTCCCAAATACTCACCACTGAACACAAGGCCTTACCATAGTTGGTGTTCAGTAAATTTCTGTGGACTGACAAAATGAATGCCACACTACTAGTCTCTTATTTAATCAAACTTCTGATCCTGGATCTCTTCAAGTTTCAATCAATAAAGACTGGTTCTTGTCCAAGAGTTTTTTGTTTGTAGGGTCTTGCCATTATCCCAGGCAAAGCTCAAACTGGTGATCTGACTTTGCCTCCTCTGTGCTGAGGTTTATAGATATGTATCACCATGACAGTCCTAGAATTCATTCTGTGGGTGAGACTTCCATGTAATACTATCCTTTTGTGGCTATGTACACGCGCGCGCGCGCACACACACACACACACACACACACACACACACACACACACACACACACACACACACACACACACACACACACACACACACACACACACACACACACACACACACACACACACCATTATCTCTTTTTCACAGTTCTACCTTTCCCCTCCAGCTCTGCTTTCCATCCCTTCTACAAGGTACTTTTTGAAAGAAAAGTTTGTAAGAGAGTAACTTGTATCTTGGTGAGGAGCAGTGGAAAGGTTAAGATGGCAGGGGCAAAGGGATGGGCAGCAAGGAGGAGAATGTTTTCCATCTTACAACAAATCACAAACAACAGAGACAAATACATTTGATAGTGACAGTTACAATGCAGCTGGTAATTACCCAAATTTTTCATTGCAGCTTAACTTTGCCTGGCTTATTTTTTGTGACATTTCTTGGAGTTACATTGTGTGCTGCCCTTCTTAAAAACACAGCAATGTCTTTGACTCTAAATGTGCCATGCCTTATCAGAGTTCTATTTGAATATGAGTTTGAGGAACATTGACGCAAACAAATCCCTTCTTTAATCCTCTTGAGATCATAGGAAACAGTTAAAATAGGCACAAAAGGTAATCCACTTTCCCTCAATTTATTGAAATGTATTCGGTGACTTGGCACCTTGCTTGCAATGGCTGGTAATGTTGGCACTGCTGCTTTATTTTCATTTTTTCCCCAAATACCAACTTACATAGTTCACGTTTAAGTGATTATTGTTTTTTCCCCATGTTACTTTGTTTGACCCAACATGCACTAAAAAGATACTCTGCTTAAGAAAAGCTGGATGGTGCTGTCTATAAAGATCACCATGCCCAGGAGCTG